GCCGCCATTGCTAAACTACAGGCACAGACAAGGGCGTAAATCCTGGTGGGGTCGTGGGGGTCAGGACACCCCCAATATTGGAAAACCCTAAATTGGACCCCCCCTCCCCCCGGTAATTCATTTCACAAATATATAATTTTAAGTAAACCTGTTTATTGGTAACATTCTGTGGTAGCAGTAGGTAATTGCCGTCGCGTGGTTCTTGAATTTGAGGAAATTGGTTCTGGAAAGTCCTTGAAAGGTCCTTGAATTTGATGTTGACCAAGGTGTGGGAAACCTGTGTGTGTGTGAGTGTGCGTCACATTGTGCGCATTGGATTTTGTGTGCGTGCTGTTTTTGGTGCCATCAAAAACCCCTTGTAGTTTTATAGGGTGAAACAATTTTGGAAAATAATTTTATGTTGTAAGTCACATAACTGTGTGACCCGGTTGTTAAAGTAAACATTAAAAGATGAAATAATTGTTGCTGTTTAATTGCAGAAATTTGTTTGATGTGTCTTAGTTTTGAAACTGGACTACAGAACTTGACCAACTAGTTAGTGGTTAATCTTAATTTCATTCTACAACAGTACATTTGACTGTAAATTAGGTGGAACCCCCCCAATAATTGCTCCTAAAATTTCCCTGATTGATGACCCCGTCAGTAATGAGATGCTATTTTCGCCCCTGGGCACAGACAGCTCAGAAAATTTACGTCATCGTTCACATCTCCTCCTTATGTTTGATCGGCTCAGTTGATATTCTGCCAGAAAAAACCATGTGTGCAAATGTTTTACATTCACCTTCACTATCAGCAGCAGGAGATAAAGAATGGGTTGAAGAATACAGTAATAATTTGCAGAATAGCATTGGTTTGTAATAAAGTTTATCTTTTTTTTACACATTTTAAATAAACCTTCAGTGGTGTGTAAAACAGACCTTTTATCTGATATTTAGTTCTAAGATCAGATAATATAAGATATTAAATCAATGATCCCCAGGAAAATTCACATTACAGCAGCAAAACTAAACACACAGGTAAAAAATTACATAAAAATGAGGAAAAAGAAATACAATAAAGCTCAATAAGCTAAATAAAAATACACTAAATCTCTATATACAGTGTTTTACTGAAATAAAAAGCCTAAAGCATAAAGTAATCAATGTATCTAGCATACTAATCAAACATTTGTTTAAGTTTACTTAAACCTAAATCAGTACTGCTGCCTCAAAAACTAGTGAAGAGAACAGACCAGTTTTCTAGCTTTATAAGCTTTTATAACAAAGGTACACCTCACCAAAGTTTGTTGTTTCCTTTTTAAATTAAAATAAAGTTTTTGAGGTCAAACAATCTGAGCCATAGTCTGCTTCGTGTCTCGAATAAAAAAAAACATTTTTAAGCTTTCTTCTGCTGTTGACAAAATTGCACAAACTGAGGATAATTTGTTAAGAAATGCTATTATATAATAAGATATTTTTGCTATCACCCCTGCTCAAAATATGAAATCAATGGGTCTCGTATATTGCTTCAAACCTTTAGCATTTCAGAATAAAAAACACTCCAGATGTGCCCGAACACCTCTGCTATAAATCTGAGTAAAATGTTTCCTCCTTTAGATTTTCCTGCTCTTACTACAGAACCAGGGGCCTCGTATCAGCGGTGCGTATGCACAAAAACCTTCCGTACGCCATTTTCCACGCAAAACTCCAGATGTATCAAAACCGAAATGAACATGGAAATGTGCGCAGCCCCACGCCAACTCCAGGGCTGGTGTCACATGTTTCTGTGGTTCTGGTTCCACTGGAGACACTTAGAGGTGATTCTGAGAAACTGTTCATGATGTGAAAATGATTAATGTTCACAGCAGACACACATGATTAACGATCATTACATCCACATGATTCACAATTATTACATCCACATGATTCACAATTATTACATC